GCTCTAACTGTACACCTGGGTCTCCACCAGCAGGAAAGGAGGGCTGAGCCTGTGACGCTGCAGACTGCTACCCGCCTTCCCTCAGCGGAGCTCCGCTTCCGCCGCCTCTACATCATGAGCTTGGACTGGAGATTGAATCTCAAGTTATCCCTGTTTGTTTGTTTTTTTTTTTTAAAAAAAAAAAAAAAGCTTGCAAATTGGTTAACAGACACAGTTTGAACATTTTGTAACTTTTGCCTGTTGACATTCTGACATTCGTTGCTGTTAAGGGGCAAGAGATTAATACAGAATAATCATTTCTGTCACTTAGTTCTGGCTCTGGTAAAACGATTCATTCTCTGCATTCATTCACCAAGTAGAAATACTCTGGCCAGCACTGCCAGAGGCTGCAGTCAGCACTGGGAACTGGACAGAAACTAGTCTCCTGCCACCCGCCTCGGAGCGCTGGGTCGGGTGGGGCTGAGAGCTGTGTTTGGGGAATCTGTGTGATTATTGGGAGACGCCCTCACGGATGTTCTTCACTGGCTCTGCTGCAGCTGACGATGAAGAGTGTATTCTTTCACTGAGAAGTGCTTGGTGATGCCAAGGTCTAATCCAGGCAGGAGGAGTGTCGTAGCTTAGCAGCCGGGAACACTGGGGACAATGACAGCTTCTCCTTGAGTAGCACCGTGCCAGGTCCTTGGGGAGGGAGGGCTGAGCTCTCCAGACTCTCTGCGTTCCAGTTTTCCACCAGCTGTGCAAGCAGAGCCAATTGTCCTTGTCCTTGTACAAATGAAACGGGGCAGAGAAGCATACAAAACAGCGAATAATTGAAAGATGATTTATATTTAGCTTTACACTGCATTATAGGCTTGGCCTTTCTCAGTACAACAACTGCCCTAACTTTGTTCCACTTATGCTGGGAAAGGCATGATGTTAGAGCTGGCGGGGATCTAAAATAGTCTAGTTTGTTTCCATAATTTTCCACATGAGAAAATAAGGTCCAAGGAAAGCAACAGAGTTACTGGTTAATGGAGAACTGGGACCAGAATGAAGATGTTGTGTCCCAGACACCATACCATCCGCCAGTCCATCAAAGTAGTGATGTATTTCGGGAGGCATGCCCTAATTAGGATGGAAGAAAGTGCCATCAAAATTGCTGGGTGATATGAGTTTGCTAGAGTTTGACAGTTGGCTCTTGGAAACCCAACAAGTAGACACATTCCATGTGATCAAAAGATGTTTGACAGTGGCTGTCCATCCCCACTGCCACTCATAGTCCTGTGTGGGGATAGTGGGAGGTCATTCAGAAGCACAGCTGGACTAGAAGGGAATTGCAGTCACCTTTTTGCTTCAGCACATCACTGGGCAGCAGAAGGCAGCTTCCCAAAGGCAGAAGCAATGTCCTGCGTTCCATGCCATGCTCAGATGCCCACTCTCCCTACCCTGGCCAGAGTGACTCGTGTAAGGTTGAGTGGCCACTCTGTCCCTCGCTCTGATTCCTGCCTTGCCCTTACAGGAGAGTCTATCCCGATCCGGCTCTTCTTGGCGGGCTACGAGCTCACCCCCACCATGCGGGACATCAACAAGAAGTTCTCCGTGCGCTACTATCTCAACCTGGTGCTGATAGACGAGGAGGAACGGCGCTACTTCAAACAGCAGGTGAAGCCTGGCACCTCCGCCCGACCCCTGGGGGCCTAGTGACAGAACAGGAGGGCGTCGTTCTGCAAAGAGCAGGCTCCCGTCTGGCAGGTTAAGCAGTAAGGCGCAAGTCTCCATGCCACTGTTCGTGTGCGAGAGGCGGAAACGGGTCACCTAGAGCCCCATAGCGAGAATGAGGGTTCCCACAGATACCTAGAGTCTGCCCCCTTGGCCCAACTCCACAACCACTCTGCCTTCCAGCCCGCAACATCCAGAGTTCCCTGGGACGGCGGTGGGACAGCTGCTGTCTTTGCTGGGAGATAAGCAGATGGGGATTTTGCCTAAGATTCCCCGAGAGGAAGTTGGAGCCTCCGGGAAACCTAACCCCATGCCTTTCTCTCGCGCCGTCATGTTGCCCCTCTCCCAATTTTGCAGGAAGTGGTGTTGTGGCGGAAGGGTGACATCGTACGGAAGAGCATGTCCCACCAGGCAGCCATCGCCTCACAGCGCTTCGAGGGCACGACCTCCCTGGGTGAAGTGCGGACCCCCAGCCAGCTGTCTGACAACAACTGCAGGCAGTAGGCCCCCAGGGCCAAGGAGCTGCTGGGCTCCCACCCAGCACCCCATCTACCAGACACCAGCGGCTGGGGGCGGGGAGGATGGTGTGAGCTCAGCTGACCCGTTACTTGCACCCTGAAAACAAATCATGTTTTTGACTTAAATTCTTTTTCTGAAGACCCCTGGGGGCTCCGGCCAGGAGGCACTGTCCTGAGGGCTCTGCAGCTGGCGGGGAGAGAGGTAGCATCCTGAAGCGAGCGTCCCTCTGGGGAAAGGGCCTCTCATGCACGGGGGCTGCCTCACGCTGCACGGGCAGACAGTGCCAGCATCCTCGGCCCCAGCCTCTGGCCCCTGATGCAGGCTCTGACCATGTCCCTGGGAGTCTGAGCTGCCAACGGGCCCCGGGTGGTCACCTCTTGTCCTCCCCTCAGGTCCCTGAGGGAGGGGCGGAGTTGGGCTGCCCCATCCCCAGTGGCCAGGGTGAGACTCGAGATTAGGAAGCTACCTCTTTGGGAGTCTTGGACGTGGTGCTTTGAAGTTTCCACAAGCCACCTCCTTTCTGGCCTTTCCCTCCCTGCCGGGACCCAGGCAACTCCCTTCTCCATGTTCTATGGACTCTTGTCAGTAACATCCTGGGACAGAGCCTGTGGAAGGGCCTTTGGCTGACTGTCCCTTCACCCATGAAAAATCGTGGCTAAGAGACGCCCTGGGGTCAGTGTCATGTATGGATGGCATCAGTGAACGCTGCATGGAGCTGTCTGCCTTCCATTCCCTCCCATCAGCTCTAAGGGCTGTGTAGTTCTGGGGTATTGTTTTGTGTGCCCAGCCCACAAGCCTAAACAGGGACATGTTTCCTTTAAGAACAGATCCCAGGAAGGGGCCTTGATCCCTTGCTTCCCTAAGAGTGGATCCTTGTCACGCCTTGCTCTCCATTTAATTTGAGCATTGGGGCTGGGTTTCAGACACTTGACATTTTGTTCTTACTATTGCCCACTCCCCTTCACCCTCAGGAGGGCGATGAGGACTCAGCAGGACCTGCCACAGCCTCAGAACTGCTTGCCAAATCATGTCTCCGCCAGGTGACTGGCCAGCGTTGAGGACCGTTGCCGTTTTTCTTTGAAAACACATTACAGACACTCTCGTGGGTGTTCTTGTTCCACTAGAGGGGGTCCCCTCTGCTGTGCTGCACTTGGGCCAGTTGCAGTAACAGTGTTGACATCCTTTTCTGCTTCACCTGGAAATGACCAGGAATTACTCTGTTGGCCTCCCGCCCCTTCTTGGAAGACAAGCAGACCCCACTGGCCAATAAGGGCAATATTCGGGTGGTCTCAGGTCTCTGTGATTTGGCAAGCAGAGGGGTTGGTTGGTTCCTGTGTCATTTTCCAGTTAGTGTGGGATATAGGGATGACTCGTCTTCAAATTTTAGTACAATCATGGGCCTTTGGGCAGGGCCCGGGGATCAGGACTGCGACTAGAAAGGCATTTGGGCTAACACTTGAGGTTGACTGGGGGCAGCAGCACCAAGGTGAGCTGGTTTTCCCAGGCTGGGCCCCGAGTTTAGTACAACGGACAATCCCCATGGGGACAGGGCCACTCGTCCAGCTGTCCCTGGATTTTCAAGGCTGGGACGAAAGTGCATGGGGGAGGCGGGCTCTGTGCTCCTTGCCTTCCGCAGAGCCTGAGACGGCTCTGGTGGGCCTCCCGGTAGATGGTGTTCTAGCTGGAAAGCACCTGACAATTCCTCTACGTCCCCAGACAACACAAATCCATCCTCCGACTTTTGTAACATCTTAAATCTTTCTTCTGGGAGAACTAGAAGATAGAATTTGCTTTTATTCTCTCAGGACCTGTGCACAAGCTAGACCTTACATTTCCTCTTACTCTGCCCTCATTCCCCACTAATTTGCCCAACTGTGGGAGTGAGGGGAGGCTCCTGTCCCCGTTCCAGGTCTCTACACCTAGGAGTGCATAGGTACTAAACCAAGCAGTGCAACTTGTCATTAAGCAGCTGCGGTGTTTACATGTTTCTTAATGTATCGTCTTTTCAATGGCTGTATTTTAAAAAAAAGAGCGCTTGTTTCAGTTGTCTCTCTGATTAAAGGCAGCCCTGTGCTCAGAGGCATCGTGCCCACGGTCCACTGGGTTCTGTGGCCTCTTCTGCCTTACGCTGTCGCACCTCACACACAAGGGAAGACAGGTTCCACGGTGCCAGCAAGACGCCTGCCCTCTCTGTGGCTCTGTGAATAGTGATGGGCGCTTTCCTAACACCTGTTCCAGACCAGCACGTGACTGAGAAAGGAAGCCCTGTTTACTTCTATCTCGCAACTTGTGCAACTGCTGATGGTTTAAACCCCTGTGAAGCCCAGGTGACTCCAGGGCTGGTGAGGAAGGCTAGTGTAAGACGACAAAGAGTTCACCCGGCTGGTGTGGCTCAGAGGCTTCCCATGCCCCAAGAGGTTGCAGGTCCGATTCCCTGTCAGGGTACATGCCTGGGTTGCAGACTCGATCCCCAGTGGGCGGGGGAGGCGGGGGGAGGCATGTAGGAGACAGCTGATAGATGTTTCTATCTCTCCCTCTCCCTCCCTCCCTCCCTCCCTCTCAAATCAATAAAAATATACAAAAAAATAAATAAATTAAAAAGACAAAAGTTCATTTCAGTGGGTATTAACAGGCAGAGCCCCATACCCTGGTATTTGCTTGTGAAGGAAGATGACAGAGGTAGCCCTGCATTTGCCACGGGGTAAACAGCCAGCCCGCAGGTTAAAGACCTGCAGGGGAGTATCACACCACCCAGTGCTGCTGGAGAAGAAACACTTGCCAGCTCTGATATTAGTGTTTTATTGAGAAAAGTACAGAAAACCCACCTATGGACACAACCTCAGATGAACCTAACAAGCAAGCCTCCGCACACCCTGTTGTCTTTGGAGTAACGTCTTGCCCATTCCAGCAAGTATCTCGGCTAACTTGGTTCCTTTTCCTCCAGGCTCAAAATAAAATCGAACTCCTCTACCAAAAAAGGGGGGAAAAGAAAGGAAGAATTAGGTCTTGTGTCTCCTCTTGAACGGGGAAGCTAAGCTAAGCTAAGCATCGCTCGTGTTATTCAAAACCCACTTATGGAGTGCGTTACTATGTGCCACGCATGCACTGCTGGGCACTGCATACACAGCGATGGGTGACTCAGGACATGCCTCCTCCCGCAGGGACAATACAGGTGAGGAGACAGACGCAGGGTAAGTACTGTGCCCAGGGCTGGGCAGTTAGCAAAGGTGAGTTGCCAGCGTCACTCTGGCATGCGGGTGACCGAGGACAGGGCCTGTCTTACCTCGGGTCAGGGGCTGAACCGAGAGCCTCTGGAGCGTGAAGAGCGCCATGTTCTGTAAAGGCCCACCGGTGGCTTTGTGAGCTTGGTGATGGGTCCTGAGCTCAGCCAGGGGAATGAAACGCTTCATCATCCGAACGAACTGGACATCCACCTGCATGACAAGTGTGTGGGACAGAAGGACGTGCCGCTGGACTCTGTCCGCTATGTTAGCTGCTTGTAGGTGTTCTGTTCTCCAAAGTCGGGGTAGCCCCGTCCGAGTCAGAGCTGAGCTCTGTGACCTGTCACACACACACCTCCCCCAGCCTCCTCTTTCCCTCTCTGTCCATCCTTCCCCTCGTGAAGTAGGAAAAATCATCTTTACCATGGACCATTTGGGGTTGTCTTTTTTGCTGGATGGATCATAATGGGGGTTGCTTTTCTCAAACTGTGTGTGGTCTGGGTAAGCCTCCTTCACAATCTGAAACCAAAACCAAGTCTTCAATCACTTGCCTGTGTAGTCAGCTCCATGGCAATTCTTTCATCCAAGTCCAACTGTCACTTCTGGCCCTGCACATTCTTACCCCATCTGCCTTGCTTTAGAGCCAATGGGGGCTCAGATATCTATATATATAAAAGGCTAATATGCAAAGTGTCCCCTTGAGAGTTCAACTGGGAATTCAATCACTCGCTATGACATACGCTGACCACCAGGGTGTGGCGCAGAACGAAGGAAGGCCCCGGCCAGCAGCTGGAAGGCCCCGATAGGCCCTGATGGCCGGCCAGGCCTAGGGACCCTACCCGTGCATGAATTTTGTGCACTGGGCCTCTAGTCTGGAAATTATACACGATCTAAGGCAAACGGGATGTCAGCCCCATCTTAACAGAAATATTAAAAGTATATTCTAAAACCAAATATTAAAGGTTATTGTTGGTTAATAAAAATATCCTGATAACACCTGCCTCGGAAGAGCTACCATCAGGCTTGTTTTTGAGTGAAAAGAGAAGGTATAGCAATGGAGAGATGTCTGGGACCTGAGATGAAGGCCTGTCTTGTCATAGTCCTGGTCACATGACAGGGCTAGGGCATTTCCCATGTTCCTGTGAGGGCAGCGATGGGAGGAGGACACTTTTTTGGCTACCTACTGAAGCGTTCACCCTTTGACTCTATCTACCTGAATAAGTGCTCCTGAAGGGGGGGGATGCAGACCCAAGCCTGTACAATTCACCTTCACAAGTCCTGCGATGCCTGGCTCTTTGCAGTTACTGTGGTAGAAGAAGGCTTCTTGCCCCAGCTTCATGGCTCTCAGGAAGTTCCGGGCCTGCCCCAGGGAAGCAGAAACAAGAACTATGTTCCCCACCCGCTGGAAAATGCTAGTGTTAGCAGAACTCGTCTGCTTTTATTAGGTGAGTTTTCCTTTACCGTGGTTTCCCTAAATTCAATTTTTTCTGAATCCTCCCCAGAGGGTATGCTTAGAGAGGGAGAGACAAAGAGAGAAACATCAATCGGTTGCCTCCTGTACACGCCCTGACTGGCGATCCTACCCACAACCTAGGTATGTGCCCCGATTGGGAATCGAATCCACCTTTTGGTGTGCGGGGTGACATTCCAACCAACTGAACCACCCAGTCTGTGCATCCCCCCAGTTCAGTTCTTGCCTTTGCCAAGATACCCAGACTTGTATTGGGACGCTGGCTAAAACACACACCATTTGTAAGGTGCATGCAATCTGAGTGATTATTTTTGAGGACATTCTTAGGTTTGGGTTCTGGGGAAAAGCAACCTTGGCTGAGATTTTGCTTCTGCATAAGGCCTAAGAAGGAGGCAGGCGCTCCTCCCGCTCCAGGTCTCAGCTTACCTGATAGTTGCGAACACCATCCCAGCATGTCATCTGCTTGGGCTCGGCTTGGAGATCCTCAATGCTGAACTAGGCGACAGGAAAAGAAAGGCATTCGTTAAATAATCCTGGGCCCATTGGTACGAACACAGGGAAGCTGACCATTCCCTCCCAAACATTGCGGTTGCTCCAGCTACAGTGGGAATACGCAGTTTACCGGGAAATAGCTCTAGACAGGCACCTGTATGGGGCGAAATATTAAGTGAGCTTTGTGTTACCTAACTTTGCTAACTAAGAGGATTAGTTAAATGGATAATCCAGAGCATAAAGTAATCTGCTGGTTATTTGTATTGGACATATTAAAATGTTATCTATATCTGTTTCCTCTGGGCTATTTTGAAATTGCTTTACATTCATTCCCTGGATCAGTGTGAGATAATGCTTGACAGGTAGCAAGAGAAAGGCAACTGAGTTGGCAAACTACAGCCTTCAGGCCAGATCTAGCTCTAAGCCCGGTTCTGTAAGTACAGTTTCACTGGAACACAGCCACACCATCTGTTTACCTTCCTGTCTATGCCACGTTCTTGCGACAGCGGAGTTGCAACAGCAGCTATAAGACCAGAGCGCCTAAGGTATTTGCTGTCTGGCCCTTGACAGAAAAAGTTTGCCATCCCTGTCCTAGACAGAGGATTCACAAAAAAGACAGTGGATGGTAGTCAGTCCTGCTGATTTTATTCCTTGCTACCAGTTCCCTACCCCTCAAAAATAGGAAGTTGGTAGTGGAACCCTGTGGTGTCCCATGTTCACTTCTTATTTTAAAAAAAGCAAAACCAAATAAATAGCTTGATGGGATTGGAGCCAGGGACATGGTCTCACCTTCACATCCACACCTTTCTCCAGGCGGCTTTCTGGCTCTGACTTCATCAGCCAGTAGCTGCTCACATTGTTCCCACACTTTTTAAGGGCTGAAGTCTCCCGAGGGCTGGATTTCTCCATCGTAGCTGGTGCCTCACCAGGGTTCTTAGCCTTGGTACGCTTTCCTGCTGGTCCCTCCTTGTCTGCCAGAGGAGAAGCAAGATGAGAGCTGTTATGATTGCTGAGAGGTAAGCTTCCATTGTGGCGAAAGCACAGACTTTGGAGTCAGACCGGATTCAAATCCTGGATCTCTCAGTTAGCAGCAGTGGCAGCTCAGCTACTGAACGTATTTCTTATCTACAAACATGGAAGAAGAATGCCTACCTCACAGGATATCTTTGGAACATCCATTCAATGGGGGTAAGAATACCTTCCATGGTTGTGGTTTAAAATGAAGGGTCCTAGCAGAGTACTTGGGCATACATTAATTAAGTCAGGGGTGGGGAACATCCGGCCTTTGGGCCACATAAGGCCTGAGAAATCATTTGGTCTGGCCCTGCCAAGGCATTAGGGGTGAGTTAATTCAATGTTTGAACAAACATAGGAGGCTGATTTTCAAGTTGGTAATTTTGTATGGCCTGCGAATGATGTTCTAAATATCCAAATGGCCCTTGACAGAAAAAGGTTCCCCACCCCTTGTAAATCAGTGTTTTTCCTTCCCTTCCTCACTCTGTCTTTGCTGAAGCTATCCTCTCCAATGAGGAAAAGTAAGCCCCTACTCCATGGACTTGTTTTGAAAAATAATAGAAACAATGGCCTTAGTGCCTGGCATTATAATAAACATTAGCAATAATTATCATCATCTCATACTTCTTTCCTGCTCCATCAGTGTGCTTTTGTGGCCTGATCTTTTTTGCTCCCTGAAGGTGTCAATAGAAGTTGGAGGAAACAACTCATTCAGGACTTTGTAGACGTGATAAAGACTGGATTTCATCCTAAGAGAATTAGAGAAAATGTGCCTGGAACATAGTAGGCCCTCAGTAGCTAGCAGTTGTGACATTCTTACTACATGACAGACTCTGAGCTCTGTTACCCTAATTGTAATTCAGTTAATCTATATATTCTATGGGATGATTTATGCATCTGGAAAATATAGCCCAGATTACATAACCAGTAATCACTCTGGGCTTTCTGAATCCACTTTATGACACTCAATTCACAGCCTCTGGTTCAAGTCAAAGCTCCTCCTGTCAGTCATCACAAAATACCACTTATGGATATCTAATGCCCTGAGCATTCCTAGCCGGGTTCCTAGTGGTCCCTTTAAGGGGCACACTAAACACCCATGTGTTGGTAAATAACGCTGCCATTCCCCACAGAGGTACCTTCTCTACCTTGTTCTGTTCCTGCTAGTCATCTACTCAGAATGCCACTTATCCTTGCGAATATAAAAAGGACACCTTGTTTTCTCCGCCTGTGGAAAGCCTTCCCATGCTTTAAGGCTAGTCTCAAATTCCACTTTCTTCTCAAGGACTTCCCGGTGATTCCTCCCTGCTCTCACACCTAGCAATACAGTCTCCTGGACCCTTTCACTTGTCCGCATTCTCTGAGAGCAGGAACTATATTCTTTTTTTTCTTTAAACTCTCACGGAGGTTATCTTTTCATTGATTTTTAGAGAGAGGAAGGGAGGGAGGGAAACATCCATGGGTTGCCTCCCACAGGCATTCCATCCCCACCACCCACCTCACCTGTCATCCCCAACCCCACCCCCCACCCCAGACTGGTTACTGCCAAGACTCAATCAAACCTGCGACCTTGCAGTGTACGGGGTGATGCTCCAACCAACTGAGCCACACTGGCCAGGGCAGGAACTACATTACTGACCTCGGTACATGCCACTCTGTATCACAGATATTTTGTGTGCTTACCAAACAGCTACTGCTTGAATGAACAAACAAGCAGAGGGGCTCTGGGTATCAGCCTGGCAGGGAGTAGAGAAGGCGGAGGACCACAGAGGACTCTCCCCACAAGCAGGAAGTGGAAGTGAACAGTATTCAACACCCTAGAAACGTTCTCTGGGAGGCTGCCTTTTTGCAGCCCGGGTGCAAGCTCACCTTGCCCAGCAGTCCCATGCAGCCTCTTCCTGGGTCTCGGCATGGTCTCCCTGCACCGGGCTCAAGAGCGGAAGATTCTGGAATCTACGAGACACAAGAGGCAGCTCAGCACTTGCCCCCAGAGACGTGCGCCAAGCCAGATGGAGACAACGAGACTGAAAGGGGGTTTCAGCCCTGAGGCTCTTTATCCAAGAACACAGACTGGGTTCCCACCCCTCAAATCCTTCTCCAATTATCTACACCCCCATTTTCCATCTCGCTTAACCTAACCCCTAAACTTTCTCCGACTTTCCTCGGACAACTTGCTCATTCGTTCGCCACTCTCTAGAACCCAACACGCTACTCCGCAGACAAGCCTTTCAACGCGCATCCTTCCGACCCCCAGGCCGCAGGGATCTCTGGGAGTTGTAGTTCCTGCTCCTGACGCAGACCCACCTGAACCCAGATCGCATGGGGCCGCCGGGAGAGCGGCTGCTCCCAGAGTGCACTACAACTCCCAGAGTGCACCACGGCCCCCAGCGTGCGGGGCAGGGCCGTAGCCGGGAATGGGGCTGCCGCCGCGGGGTTGGGCCGCGGGGGCCGGCCTAGGTCAGGAGCTCTCGGGCCCTGGCGGGAGCTGGGAGCGGAGCGATGTGGCGGAGCAGCGGCCTGAGACTCGGAGCGCGGCTCTGCTGCCCTCGCGGCGGCGCCCGGGCTCCCGCCGAGCGCGGCCACCGGAGCCTGGTCTCCTGCATCGACCGTAAGGCTCCCCCTGGGGAACAGGTGGCCCGGGGCCCGGGCTGGGGCCGTGGTCTCCGCGCCCGCGGAGCGCGCTGTTGCCCCGGGAGGTCGGCGCCGCCTGCCGCCTGTCACCCATGGCGGTCACCCTGTCCGATCCACCTGGGTGGCCCCCGAGCGGACTTTGCGCTCTCGGACCTCCGCCAGCCTGTTGCGCCCCTCGGCCTCGCCTGCTACCTCTCCCGCACCCCCGCACCCCCGCACCCCCTCGGGCAGACATGGTGGCGGAGCCGGCTCTGAACCATGTGGTCCAGGCCTCACGGCTCCTGAGCCCCGTCCTTTCCGCCGCCCTCCCCACCGCCCGGAGCAGCGATTTCCCACCGGAATGTGTAAAACATGCAGGACCCGGACTGCTTAGTCACGGACATTGACCTCTTTCTCCTTAGATTGCAGATAAAGAAGTGGTAACAGCCGACACAGCAATAGCCGACGGTGTGAATGGATCCAAACTATACCTTTTTTTTTGAGATTATACATATATATATATGGAGTGCGGCAGAGTTTTAGCAATTAGTTTATGTGCCATGAGATGAAAAAGGTTGAAAATCGCTGCTCTGCTCTGGAGGCACTTGCAGATTCTTGGCTGACAGTGTCTTCCTACCACGCGGGGTCCTCTGACGCTAGATGGAGCTATGAAAGGACAGTGGGGTCTTGACTTACGAGTTTAATTGGTTAACTCCAATTACTCTATCAACCCAAAAAACTCGTTAGTCGGGACACTCGTAAGTCAAGGCCCCACTGTACTTTGTAGCGAATACAGCTCACTCCGCGCTGCTAACGCCGTTCCTTGGTTGCGCAGACCTTCCTTAAACTTGGTGTCTATCATCAGCCCCTTGATATGTTTTGTAAGTTGACTTAGGAAATAAGTACAATAGCTCAGGGCCTTACATTTACCCTCACAGCTCTGTTACCAGCCCTGCGTTTAGGTAAGGAGTGGGTGCTTAGACAGGTGCCGCAACCCGTGACTGGTGGTGGTGGTGGTTTTTGTTTTTAAATCGTAACAACAGGTCATAAAGGCAGTAAGAATGTAAAAAGCCTGGTGCTGGTGGCAGTAGAGGGACAAGAGCTCTAGGTAATGCAAGATTTGCTAATCAGACTTTATACCTTGACATCGGTAGCTAGCAAACACTTTTACTGTCGACATTCCTAAAAGAAAAGGGAATACTTTGCAAGTGGGAAACCACCAGAGCTTACAGAGCTGAGTGTCTTTAGGGGTCAGGCAGGTAGCGTAGGTGTGAATAACAGGAGGGCGAGGAGCCAGGCTGGCAGCAGCACCCAGCACCACTTTTTTCCCTCTGAAACACATGTTTTAAAATAAATGACGCTTTTCTTTACAGCAGGAGAGTCTGCGAATCCCTTAGACCAGTGGTTCTCAACCTTCCTAATGCCGCGACCCCTTAATACAGTTCCTCATGTTGTGGTGACCCCCAATTTCATTGTTACAAATGGAACCTAATTAAAGCACAGTGATTCATCACAAAAACAATATGTAATTATATATGTGTTTTCCGATGGTCTTAGGCAACCCCTGTGAAAGGGTCGTTCGACCCCCAAAGGGGTCGCGACCCACAGGTTGAGAACCGCTGCACTAAGGACTAGGAGACTGTTTACCTCTCAATGTCCTAAACCACCTTCACAAGGTGCTGCCCTGGTTAGCACTAGAACTTGTTAAACAGCAGTGGTTCTCAACCTTGGCTGTACATTAGAGTCACCTGGGAATCTTTTTAAAATCCTGATTTCTGGGCCTCATCCTCCGGAAATTCTGTTTCTTTGTTATGGGGTGGGGCCACAACATTAGTAACCAAGAAACAGAATTTCCGGAGGATGAGGCCCAGAAATCAGGATTTTAAAAAGATTCCCAGGTGAGCCCTAACTGGTTTGGCTCAGTGGATAGTGGGGACTCAAGGGTCCCAGGTTCGATTCCGGTCAAGGGCAGGTACCTTGGTTGCGGGCACATCCCCAGTGGGGAGTGCGCAGGAGGCAGCTGATCGATGTTTCTCTCTCATCAATGTTTCTAACCATTCCTCTCCCTTCCTCTCTGTAAAAAATCAATAAAATATATTTTTTTTAAAAAAGATTCCCAGGTGATTCTAATGTGCAGCCAAGGTTGAGAACCACTGTTAAACAGGATTAACTCCTTGCCAGAGGGGATAGGGAGTAGTTCTGTCAACAAGTAGGTAAATATTTGTTTAAATATCAGTTCTGGGGATTTCTAGAATCTTGTGGAATAACTTTAGCCAATGAGGCGCTTTTCCACATTCTTAAAGGAAATTGTCTTTTTTAAATGGTAAAATAAGAAGAGGACGTTGCCCCTTCCATAGGTCGTCCTGCATGTTAAAATATCAAATTCATGGAAGCGATCAACAAACGTTTCTCATTGTTTCATTGCATATTTTAATGTGAAAAATGATTTTTAAGAAAGCTGGTTTTATGATGTTTCAGTATATATTATGCCTTTATCTAAAGTGCCCTCCTTTGGCAGATACTATCATTTTACACACGAGGAAATTTATTTCGTGTCTAGTGGAGCCCCTTGTTTTGCACTGTGATAACTGAGCTTTGAGCTGCACCGGACTTACGGACGTTGCAGGGTTAATCATTTCAGAACCAGAGCGCACATGACCCATTCCTTGTCCGGCGCTGGACCTTCCCACGGCAAGATTCCCTGGACACCAAGATTCTCGAATAGGATATTGGTTCTGTACTGTGGGTGCATTTAAAGATTCATATTATTGGGAGCTTTTCTTTGTGTGTTTTCACCCCTTACTTATTGTACTTCAGTTGCTGTACAGTGAAGGCTTTCCTTGTCTCAATTGGACTCTTTTTCCAGTTGGCTTTACCATTTTAGCATGTGTGTGTATGTGTGCGTGTGCGTGTGCGTGTGTGTGTGTGTGTGTGTGTGTGTGTGTGCTGGTTTCTTGAACTCTGCCAGTAACTCCAGCCAACATCACGAGGTGTTTGCTTTGTTTTTATGGTGTGTTTTCTGGGACCGTAGGTATTTTTCACTAGTAACTATGCTTTCGTGTGTGTAATTGGCTTTTTAATTGACTTCTTCCACTTTTTTCCCCCCTTCAAGTAATGCTCTCCTTTCGTTAGCATTCCTTTAGCTAACATTGACTGTTTGGTCATCTTAAAAAATGTGACTATGTTGTATTTACTTATACATACAACTTGCATACACCTGTTCCCTATTTTTTACTTAGCTTGTCATTTAAATCTAGTTTTTCCTCGAACTACTTGTTTTACTCTGTCAAATAATAATGACTGTAAACGTTTATGGAGCCCTTGCTGGGACCGAAATTCCGTAGCACGTCTCTTACCTAGTGAGATGCTTGCACTGCTACCATTTATGTGTGAGCGGCCCATATTCACCTTGGTGACCCCAGCACTGTCCCCAGTAGACAGTCCGCAAATCCTCTTTGGGGAATGGTCTTTGAGCGATACCTTCAGGGCATTTCTGCAGAACTGTGCACATAAGTGGCCCGACTCCCAGTTGGGAATTCATGATTTTATCCCTAAGGCTGTTCCTGCGGGAAACACCTACCATAAGGTTTCTGCTCCCGGCTTCTCAAGGCTGCCGAATCCCTAATCCTCACAGTGACTCATTTCTGAGTTTCCCTTTTAACGAGAGTCGTGGGACAGACAGACGGCTTCCGCCTGCCGCACACGGGAGGTGCCCAGCACTGCCCCAGAGGAACTCTGCCACCAGCACATGCTCCCTGCCAGAAGGGCTGTGCGTTGGTGTTAGGCACTGAAGTATTTATTTTGTTTGGTTGTTTTTGTTAATCCTCACCTGAGGTTATTTTTCCATTGGTTTTTAGGGAGAGTGGGAAAGACAGAGAGAAACATCGATGTGTTTGAAACACATCGACTGGTTGCCTCCTGCACCGGCCCCTACCAGGAGCCTGCAACCTAGGTACATGTCCTTGACCGGAATCCAACCTGGAGCCCTTCCGTCCGCAGGCTGACGCTCTGTCCACTGAGTCAAACCGGCTAGGGCGGCGCTGAAGTCAGTTTAATTTTAAAGTCTGCACTACCTTGCCAAACAGGAAACGTATTTTAGATCTTACTTCACTAGCTGGTTGACTTGCAAGCTCTGCTTTCCAAGTCACTCCTCTCTCTCTCTCTCTCTCTCTCTCTCTCTCTCTCTCTCTCTCTCTTTCTCTCGGTGCAGTTTTCTAACAAGTTGTGAAAAATGCTTAATGTTCATGTCATGAGGGGAACTGACGGGCTAAGAAAAACTTGTAATGATATTGTAAATGGAATAGTCCCTGTTTTAAGCAGGCAGACGCAGCTATCTTCCTCCCGGAGGGCACCACCCCTGATGAACTACACGGGGTGCAGCCTTCCACGCAGTGTTTAAGCTCTTCAGAAACTTCTCCCGTTGGTGCTGCTCAGTTATTCATTGTCCTTAGCTTCTAAGTATCTTAGAGCTAGAAGTGAAGGAGTTACTCAGTCACAGCACTGTTAGGATAGAGAGTGTTCTGAGAATCCCCAGTCCATGGGTGAACACAGATTTAGTAAGGCCTTAGCCATGCTTTCAGCACTGAAACGCTTCCATCAACACTTCTCAGTGAGCGACCTTGTCCTAATTTGCAACGTTAGCCA